AAGAAGAGCAGAAATGCATAAAGATCAAAATTTAGATACCAGAACCAGTGTATTGGGCACCGGAGCCACTGAGTGAAGAAGCAGAAGCGACTGGGAAACACTTAAGACTGGTGGGGCATTTGGTATCTGAACCAAATCTTGAAGGAAAGCTTAAGCTGATGTTGTTGCCGCCATGAAAGCTTGAAACTTTGCTACAATTCTTAAGCAAGACCAAGTCCGGGCACACCCCAACCCAAACCCCTGCTCTGCTCCCCATATGGATTTTGGCGCCTTCGATCTCAACCCCCTCACCTGAATTTTAAGCAGCACATGGATAAAACTGCTATTTAAAATAAAATATATAACAGGTAATAAGAGAAAGAAATTCTTTTTTCTGTTTTTCTTCAGGAAGGAAAACGACGACGTACTTGCATTATTAACGCAGAAACAAAGAAAGTCAGTTAAAATTGCCCACATTTTGATCTTTTTAATATAAGAAGATTGAAGCCAAACTCCCGAGGAGGAAGACAATGGAGGCTCTGGTTTGCAGAAAATTGGGAGACCCAACAGCACCCATTTCAGGAGGAGGAGCAGAGAAAGCAATAGTGGTGGAGAAGAATCATCCAATTCCTGAATTGGTGTCTCCCACATCGGTGAGGGTGAGGGTGAAAGCTACGAGCTTGAACTACGCCAATTATCTACAGATACTGGGCAAGTACCAAGAGAAGCCACCCCTCCCTTTCATCCCTGGCTCTGACTATTCCGGCGTCGTCGACGCCGTGGGACCTTCCGTCTCCAAGTTCAAAGTCGGCGACCCTGTTTGCTCTTTTGCCGCCCTCGGCTCCTTTGCCCAATTCATCGTCGCCGACCAGACCGAGCTGTGAGTTCAGCTACCCCATCTCTCTCTCTCTCTCTCTCTCTCTCTCTCTTGTTTATTGATGTGGGAATGTTGATGATTGAAGGTTTGGAGTGCCAGAGGGGTGTGATCTGGTAGCTGCTGGTGCACTGCCTGTTGCATTTGGGACATCACACGTGGCTCTTGTTCACCGGGCCAATTTGACCTCCGGCCAAGTACTTATATTTATGATGATCTTCATTTGTATTTGTTTCTGTCTGTATTTGTTTTGTGTTTGAGTTTTTGTGTTTATTTGTAGGTATTGCTGGTTCTTGGTGCAGCTGGAGGTGTTGGTCTTGCAGCTGTACAGATTGGCAAGGTTGTTGGAGCCATTGTTATTGCCGTAGCTAGGTACTTCAACTTATTTCATCCCCTCATTGTTTTTGTTTTGTGGGAATTGGGATTGCTGTTTGCTTTCAATTTGATGCATTTACAAATGGAGTTTGTGTTATTTGGGTGCTGAAATCTCCAGGGGAGCTGAGAAGGTGCAGTATTTGAAGTCATTGGGTGTTGATCATGTCGTGGACTCGAGCACTCAAAATCTTATCCAAAGTGTCAAGGACTTCTTGAAAACCAGAAAGCTTAAAGGGGTTGACGTTTTGTATGATCCAGTTGGAGGCAAGCTTACTAAAGAGGCCATGAAGGTTTTGAGTTGGGGGGGCAACATTTTGGTCATAGGCTTTGCCAGTGGAGAGATCCCTGTTATCCCTGCAAATATTGCCCTTGTTAAGGTAGTGTTTGTTTCCCTCCAGCCCCAAAATGTTGCATTTGTTGGCTCAAATGATCAAAGCCTGCTAAGGGATTGAAATGCTTACTGAGAATTATAGAAGTCATTTGGAAATGATCAATTGATAGTTTGTACTTGTTTTTTTTCAAAGTTTGAAGAAAAAGTTGTGATTTAGAACCAAGTTGAAGGTTGAACAGTAACAGAGACCAATTCTCAGTTAACTGACTGGTCTGGCCACTTCAACCACATAGCCTGTGGCATCTGTATATGAAGCCATCCTTACTGGAAATATATGAGAGTGATATTGGAGAAGGCTTTAATGAAAACAGTGTGTACGAAATCTCTGTATCTGAATTTGTCTCCTTACTAGTCAATAGTCAGTGTATTTGTATATTTTAAAACAAAGGATCCACTTCCCCGAAGACCAAGTTAGTGTTGTATTGTGTTTATTACATGGGCATGAAATATATTGTTTGTTCCTGATTCTTGGGTTCCAAACTGATGCCCTTCTACTTATGTATTACTTTGTACCAGAACTGGACAGTGCATGGACTTTACTGGGGTAGCTACAGAATTCATCGACCAGCTGTTCTTGAAGATTCACTCAAGGAGCTACTATCCTGGGTGGCAAGAGGCTTGATCACCATCCGCATCTCTCATACTTATCGCCTTCCAGAGGTTAGGGACTTCCTTACACACTTTTTTAACCCCTTAACATAGGTACAATCTTAGATTGATAAAAGCTTTTGCTTGAAGATGTGCCACCATCATTGGTTGTTGTCTGTTGAGTATAAGGGCGAGTGCAGAGGGTGGGTAGGACTAGTTCTTTCACCTGAACAAATTAGAAGAGACAAGGGTTTGGATGGGTTGGAAGAAGGTATGAAACTTTAGAGTAGGTTCTCAGAAGCCCTAGTTGGACAAAGTATAGAACTCATCATATGTTGAACCATATTTTAGTTTATTTATTCAAGGAACTTGGTCAATATTGGTTGTGTGATTAAGATTCATGCTCATTGTGTATGATTGCTGCTTTTATTTCAAGTTATTGTGAAACATTGATTATCTGAGCTGCTACCAATTGCCTTGTAAATGACAGGCCAATCTTGCGTTTTCTGCCATCAAAGATAGGAAAGCCATTGGAAAAGTGATGCTTGTTCTTGATGACCAGACAAGTGTAAGATCAAAGCTTTAACTTGATCAGAGTTCAGCTTGGATGGGCGGGCCTTGTAATCGCCAGCACTTCAAATCCATAAACTGCCCCTTTTCATATATTGTGACAAACACATGGTTTCCCATTTGATTGCTGATGATACAAATAAATAAATAAGATCAAATGGTTTGGGTTCATGGTACCAGTTATGAAACCTGAGTTGTTACTGATTCTGAAAAATTATCCAAAACACCGACAATTTCGCATCTTTTGTGGATGAGCTAATTATATAACAAAGGACAATCCAACTACATTTAGGAATGACCAAGCCCAAGATTGTTTCGGAGTTCAGAGTCTGGCCAGTTTATATTTGGGTTTATCAGCTTCTTTGCTGAAAAAGTTGCTCAAAGATAGTATATATCAGGCAAATTAGGGGGAAGAGTTTCATACAGTGACATTTGGCATTATAACAAGTATTATAATTGGCTTTATTTTACCAGATATATGGTAAGAAGGAACAACACAACACTTCCAAATATTTACATCCAACAGATATTCAGAAATTGCCAATATGTACACCGGACGAAAGAATGGATAGCTCCAGGAATTATTCGAACAAACTCTATCTTGGCCTACTGTCAG